AGTAGGTCTAGTGGGAGCGTCTTAGTCCCTCCCTTGGTGAGTGATGCCCATATGGATGCTTGTAATGAACACCCATTTAAAGGCTGCAAACTCCATGAGGGCAGGATACTGCTCATCTTGTTCAGTGGCTCCTTTAGTACCACATGCAATGCCTGGCCCAGGTCAGGTGGTTCATTTGTGTGGGCTGAACCCAGAGTTAACCTACTTTCTCCTGCCCTCTGGCACCAACGGAGGGCACTATGGTAGCCAAAGTTAGAAGACAAAGTGACAAGGAAATCTATTTTTTCAGATGATCTGGACTGAGACAGAGAACTGGTGTGGATAACTATGTGGAGAGTTTCCAGCTAACCTGGATCACGCAGCAGTCTGGGTCCTGTTGCCCATCAGGCTTTAGGCTGGGGTGGGACCTGTGACTCACCTTGACTCTGGACTCCCCCCAGGGAGGACTCAGCCCCATTATTAAGGCATGTAACCAGGTGGTATTTCACAGCCTCCCAAACCCAAAGGCCCCGAACCTACACTACAATACCAGCTCCTTCCCAGGAAGGAAGCGGGGAGAGCAGGTGAAGGAGGGCTGGCTACAAGAGTCCTGAGCTTGGAGAAAAGGGTCATAGGTGTGTGACTCACACACACTGTGAGGAGGGATGTTATTCACTCATCTACCAACCACTGATTACGTGCTTCCTGTGTGCCAGGGACTGGGCTAAGTGCTTCACGGGTAATCTCATTTAATTCCCACAAGAGACGCAGTGAGGTGACATGACTCACCAGGTCACATGGTTGGGAAGGGATGGAATCGATTCTGCACAGAGGCCTGTCTGCACCCACAGGCCTGCTCCCAGCCACCACCCTCCAGCCTCCTTGGGTTCTTCCGGGTCCGCAGGGATGCGGGGAAATGGGAGAGGAGGGGCCTGAGAAGGCATGCTCACATAGAGATTACATTTCCATGAAATAAGGGCTCAGAACAAGAAGGCCTGGCCTGAAAATGGCTGTAGGAGAGGCGAGAGATAGGCCCGGAGTGAGGAGAGCCCCAGACAGTGGGGAGAGGAGCCCGGGCAAGCCTGCCTGACCCCTGAGGTGTGGGCCTCTTGCTCAGGGCCAGAGGCAAGATCAGGTGACCTCTTGAGGTTTCAAGACGGGGAGAGACAAAGCCCAGAGCGGTCAGGGCCTGGCCCAGGTCCGGGCATGCCTGCTGACCCTGGCTGGCTGGTGGCCTTGGAAACTGCTTCCTGCCCCAGCTGGTATAACCTTGGAGGACCTGTGACATTTCTCTTGGCCTCAGGTCCAGACCCAAGAGGGAATGGGGAGGAGAGGGGGACTCGAGATCCCTGAACACCTTGGAGGGGCCCTTCCCACCCTCGCAGCCTGTCCCCAGGGTCTAGAAGGGGCTGATCTTCAGCTGTGAGGGCCCAAGGCGGAGCCAGTCTGTCTGGCTCTGCGTTCCATCTAAGGGACTAGGGAAGATGTTTGCCCGCCCGGGCGCCCCCCGCCCCCCTCCCTCTCTGTCAGCTCAGCTCCCAGACAGTCAGGTCCCACATTCCCCACTCTGGTTCCTTCCAGCTTTCTTCTTCTAACTCACATCGGGATGTGACCTGCCCCTGCCCGCAGTTTCCTCTGCCTGGAATCGCCCTTCCCCCAGTCTCTTGTGTGTCCACACCTTGCCTATCCTTCAAGGTTGAGCTCGGATGCAGCTTCTTTCACAGAACCTCAAAATCCATTTAAAATGTCAGACCCAGAAAGAGCTGTGGGAAGTATCCAACCACTCCGTCATTTTGGAGGTAGGGAATCGGGTGCGGGGGACCAGCGAGGCAGAGTATCCAGGATCGGTGAGGGTGGGGAGCTGGGTTCAAATCCCGACTCTGCCGTTTCCTACCCGTGGATTCCCTGGGCAAGCTTTGGAGCTGCACCTGCGTTCCGAGAGATTTGACTCACTGAAGGAAGAGGCAAGTACCCCGACCCCTCAGGCTGTTGTGAAGGGCCAGTGAGGCTGTGTTGTACAAACGGCCCAGCACGAATACACATCCCTTTTCTTATCAAAGGGACAGAGAGGTGACTTCGGGCCGTGGCCCGCCTTCCTGGTGCATGAGGTTTGCTTTTCCCTACCATCTCACACCCAGATGCTTGAGGCTCTTTGTGGGCTTGGATTAGCTTTCATGGGCCCTCGAGGACACAGGCTGTGCCTGGCATCGGGACAGGCATCGGAGGGTAGGTGCGGGTGATGCTCAAGATGTGAGGTTGAGCTCAGTGACTTCTCCCGCACCCGGCCCTGGGTCAAAAGGGCTCACTGCCCTGCTGGTGAATCAGTGTCACTGTCCTCCTTGTTTAAGCCCTCTGTTAACAAGCGCCACTCCCTCTGTTAACTCTTCTTCCTCACTGTTCTCCTTCCCTGCATCCCCAGCACTTCCTCACTCCCCACAATGCTTTTAATCAGTCCTTGGCACTGGGAGCGGGGGTTGCCCGAGATGAGGGCGGATGTGCCATCTTGGATGAAGAAGGGGGGACAGCCCTCCCGCCATCACGGTCTAAGCCAGCAACCACTGCTTGCCTGAGCTACCGCAGCCGGTCTCCCTCCTCCAGCACCTGCCTGCTCCGCGGCACCTCCGCTCAGAACCCTTCAATGGTTTCCCATTTGTCTTGGAACAAACTTCAAATTCCTTCCAATGGCTGCATGATCTGGCCCTGCCTCCTCACCCCGTCATTAGCGTTACTGTCTTCCCATCAGGTCGTCAAAGCTGAGGTGCTTTTTTGGCCTCCGGGCTTTACCCACTGCCATTCCCCCTGCCCCGAATGCTCTTCCCCCATCCCTATCTAGCTGACGCCCCCTTATCTTTCAGGCATCAGCTCAGCACCTGGCCAGCCGGCTGCAGACCTTTACAGCTTCCTAGCTTTTATTCTCTTGCATGGTCCTTCCTATGGCCATAATTACCAAATGCTCTCTGTTCTTCTGTTTTCCCATCTTTCCCTCTAAACTGGAAGCCCCCTGAGGACCAGGGGCTCACTGTGGCATTCACTGCTGTGTCCCCAACGCCTGGCAGGCAGTGGGTGTTGGATGGATGTCTCTGGAACAACTGAGTGCCTCGGTCTGAGGACTAGTGCTGTCAACTCCCAGCTCTGAGTGGGGAGCGGGCCAGAATGTGGGGCTGGATGGCGTCCCAGTTCCTCCTGCGTTCAGGCCTCGCTGGGTGGTTCCATTATGTATCTCACTGAGCCGTGACCTGCCCAATAACCCAGCCCCCACATCGGTTTATTTTCCCACCCAGAGCCCGTGAGGAAAGGTTTTCAGATTATTTCACATTTTCTGGATTATCCACAAGACATCTTCCCTCCAGTGAGAAGGATCAAGAGTTTGACATTTTAAGCCCTAAGCAGCTTCTCCCTGGCCTGCTTCAGATCTGTGGCTCTGCCGCTTGCAGTGAGGTGCATGGGGAATGGAAGGCCATTTTAATCTTGGTTTGGCTTCATTATGAGGAAAAATATGCTGCCCCCAAGAAAGTCTGGTCCATTCTCTATGCCATGCAGAGTTTCAAGAACCCAAAAGATCACCAAAATCAATTTCCTTGAACAGATGGGGAAAGAGAGGTTGGGGGGGGGGGGTGGGGAGGAGGAGGGGTAAAAGCTTGGTCAAGGGCACGTAGCAAGTTGGCCAATTGAGGAATGGTCTTTCCCCAGGCCTCCTGACTCCCACGTGCTGCCCTTTGCCATCTCCATGCACCAAGGGAGCTGAGGTCAGGCGGAGAGGGGGTAATAAGTTTCCACTGACATGACTTCAGGACCCTGAGTCACCTTGGCCTCGAATGGCCTTCCCCAAGCAGGGATGGGGCTTTCCAGAAGCCCTGCCATTCCTTCTCCAGGAACAGACATTCCCAGGAGGCTGCAGCAGTCGCAGAGGTGTGAGGTGGGGTAAGAGGCTCAGACAGACCCCCAGCCCACTCCATCACTATGCACCATGTCCAGGTCAATTCTGCGACAGGTCTGTTCCAAAAGAAGGAAATGAAGGGCCAGTTATAGCTACATTTTTGGAGCAGACTGTTCATCAAGAAAATGATTCCTTCAACTCTGTCCCTTTAGACCATTTTGGGGGCATTTCCCCCTCTTTTATTTTCTTTTTCTTGAACACAAAATCTTAAAAGAATACTGAAGGAGGTGACAGTACCTGATAAAACAGTATCTAAATACCTAACAATACTTAACTGAATTCTTAAGGAATGAATTTGGTTTCAGGAAAGGGCCTGGGATTTTTTTTGGTAGGAAACATCCTACCTGGGGACAGACGCACTAGCTGGAGGCTCCCAGACAGTGAAATCCCAATACCCCTGTGGAAGAACAGCCTTTGGGGTACCCTGTGAGGCCAGAAAAGGACATCCTAGCCACAGCCTCAGCCTGGCCTTTGTCAGACCGCATCTTAAATTAAATGAAGTTCCCAAGGAGACAAGGAAGCCTGCAGGATCAGGATCCTGGATGGGCCTTCGTGGGTAATTATCCAACCTGCTTTTTCCTTCATCTGTCTCATGCAGAGTGATGCAAACACCCTCCCTTACAAGAGGTCAAGTGATGAGTGTGTGCTGGGACTCAGGTGGTCTCTGCTCAGGACTGAGCATGGCTAAGGGGAACGGACACCTGATGAACCAAACCAGATGGCTCCATCCTGTCTACAGTCCTCCAGCCATTTCAGTAATGGGACCCCTGAATGTCTAAGCCCCATGCTGGGTTCACCACCCAAGCACTCACCTCCTCCCTAAGACTGTTCCCCCCCAAAAAAAGACTGTTCCCAACAGCTAATGCCAGATTCCCTGAATCCCAACTCCCTGTCCTGTTGTCAGGTCCCTAATCTTGCCCTCAAGTCCTTCCAGCTCGTGGCTATCCTTCTGCCCCCTGCCCAAGCTCTAATGTCTTCATGCCTCCCCAGCCCCAGCCCCCCAGTTTCTTCTGCCCACTGCACCCACATCCTCAGACTCACCCAGGAACAAAACCTCGAGGTCCAGTCGGCACTTCAGTTGGCACTACAGGGAGGTGACGGTGAATGTGTCCTCAGGGTGAGGTTCCGCCATGGGCCCCAGGAAGCCGCTCTTGGGGCCCCCACCCAGGCCGGGATGCGCCTGCGGCATAAAGCCTGGATACCTGTAGGCGGTATCCTGCAGGGGCAGCAGCGAGTCCCTCGGCACGGGGGACAGGGTCAAGTCACTAAGAAGTGGGCAGCCATAGCCAGCAGCGGCTGCAGCGGGGCCACGGGGTGGGCCGGGCGGCCGGGCCATCTCCAGCGGCTCCTTGTCGGCCTTGGGTGTGGCCGGTGGGCTAGCCAGGTGTGGGGCACTGAGGCACGCGGCCTCCGTCCTGCCCAGGAAGTCAGCCAGCAGCCCCGAACCCACCTTGCCTTCGTAGGGTGGGCTGCGGGCAGCTGAACCTGGCGGGTACCAATACGCCGTACCCTTGCAGCTGGGGGAGTCGTAGTGAGGCTGGCCCAGCGGCAGGTCCCGGCAGCTCAGGTGGGCCTGGGCTGCAGCCGCGTGGCCCAGGCTGGCCCCCTGGAGCCCGTGCTTCAGGGGCTCACAGGCAGCCAGCTTTGTGGGCGGCGGCCGCAGCTCTTCCTTGAAGCCCAGGGTGGGTGAGCAGGTGGGCGAGTATGCCTTCTGCAGACCTGTATCAAACACCGTGGGCGGGTGGGCCAGCGGTGGGAAATGCTTGCCATCCAGCTCAGGGGCACCCAGGCTAGGCGAGTCGCAGTGGAAGCCTTGGCCGAAGGTGCCATCGGACGGCGTGGATGGGTTCATGGAGTAGGGTCCCATGAAGTCACAGGGGTCTCGCTCGCCCACACTGAAGGCCCTCGATTGGGAGGGCAGCGGGGACATGCTGCTGTCCCCACTGTAGTAGTCCAGGCCGAGGTCCGGGCTGTCCTGGAACAGGGGGTTGACGGGCTGCGGCTTGGGGATGAACTTGGCTTTGGCCGCCGCCCCGCCCCGCTCCTTCTTGGCCGAGCAGGCACCACCGCCCCGGCCACCCCGAGGCTGCCGGGGCCCCGTGCTCCGTTTGGACGGGTAGCCCGAGGCAGTGGTCGAGGCGGACGACGGGAAGCCCAGGTGCGAGGCCTCGAACAGGTCCACCTTCTTCCGCCGGCCGCGGCCAGGCTTGGAGCTGCTCTGGAAGAGGACGCTCTGGTTCCAGTTGTAACCGGGGGCGGACGAGGCCTCGTTCCAGTCCATCATCAGTTTCTCCAGGCTGGACAGGCTCGACTGGCCCTCGCTGCTCGAGGCCTCGCTGTTGGCACGCCGGAAACCGCCGCCGACCGGCTGATTGAATTGGGTGCTGTCGGAGGAGGACTCGGAGAAGGTCTCGGACACGGCTGTCTGCTGCTTCACCTTCTGCGGGGTGTAGTTGGAGATGTCCAGGATCACGTTGGGCTCGCTGACATGGCAGTCGAAGCCGGGATTGTAGAGCTGACTGAAGGCCTCCGAGGCCCAGTCCAGGCCTCCGTAGCCCTGCCGGAAAGGCCACTGAGAAGCCCCCGCAAACTGCCGACAGTTCTCAGGTGAGGGCTGGAAAGACGAGGACGACGAGGAGGCGGCGGAGGTGGCAGAGGCCGTGGTGCCCTTGGGCACCATGTAGCCGCCGGGCGAGACCGTGCTGGCCCGGCTGTCACAGCGCAGAGGTGTGGGGGCTGAACCAGAGAAGGGGGCCCCCTCAGAGCTGTTGAAGAAGGAGGCCTTGCTTGGTGGCAGGCAGGGGCCACCGGTGGGCGGTGGGGCGTAGCCGGCGCTGTGGGCGCTGCTGGGTGAGGCAGGTAGGCTGTTGCCGCTGCCGTATGCAAAGCTGCAGTCCTTGCTGTTAGCGCAGTCCTGGCCCGTGAAGGGCTTAGCCGGGGCAAATACGCTTTGTCCAGCCCCATAGCCGCCGTACTGCGGGGGATAGGTGTTGGCTGGAGGGTGGGTGGTAGGTGAGCGGGCCACGGCGGAAGGCGGGGGCGCCAGCTTGGGGAAGGTCTCTGCAGCCCGGCAGTCTGAAGTGGCCGGGGTGAGCCCATAGCTCGTTGCCCGCCCGGGTGGGAAAGTCTGGCGAGCGGACAGCACTGGCTGGAAGGAGGGCTCAGCCCCAGCCCCGCCGCTGCCCACGGCTACTGGGCTGGCCTTGGCTCCCCGGCTGGGAAAGGTGGCCAGGCCCCGCTGGGCAGGCAGGGCGCTGGTGGGGGGCCCTGTGTAGGTGCCTGATGCCTTCCGGGACTCGGGCCGAGAGGCCGAGAGAGCAAAGTCCAAGAGATCGGAGGAGTCGTCGGAATCGAGCAGGGAGCGGAAATAGCCGGTGAAGAGGTTTTGCCGCTCCTGGCTGAGCTCGGCCTGGCCCGCGGGCGCGGCCGCACTGTAGTAGCTGCCACGGCCTGAAGCCCCGCTTTCTAGTCCAGTGGAGGCAAAGGCCCGGGCCTCGGTCCCCTGGAACCCACAGTTTCGGCCAGCCTGCCCGCCTGGGTGCCCGTGGTGAGGGGCCCAGCCGCCACCCTTGTCCCCGGCCCACTCAGTGCCCGCCTCCCCGAAGCCGGGGCCGCTGGGCACTTGCTCTGGGAACAGAGTCCCGTTCTTCCGGGACCGCCTCTTGCGTTTGGGCTTCCCAGTTACGGCGTCTACCTCCCCCCGGCCTCGCTTGCGCGGGTGCCCCAGCTCGGTGAGGCCAGGGCCCCCGACCCCCGCGGCTGCCACGGCCACCACCTTCTTCTTCTTCCCGATGCCCTCAAAGAAGTCACTGAAGGAGCACCGGGCGGCCTTGGCTGCATGGCCCCCTCCCCGGCCACCGAAGCCGCCTGCTTTGCCACCTCGCCGACGGAAGCCCTGTACGCGATGCAGGAAGTGGGAGATGCTCTGGGTGTCGGGCGCCTGGTGCACGGACTCGGGTTCGCTGGGCGTCCAGCAGCGGGGCGGGGAGCACCGCCCGGCACACTGACTCTGGCGGTTCAGGAAGGCCAGCTTGGCGAGGACGTCTGAGTACTCGGCCTTGCTGTCGTTGGCGTCCGCGGCGTAGGACGGCTGCGGGGACGCCAGCTTCTGCTTCCGCCGCCGGCGCTTCTTTACCTCCGGCATGGCCATGCTGGCTGCCGCTACGGTGGCCGCCTCGGCCGCCACCACCACCGGCTCCTTGGGCTTGCCGGGGCCCAGCAGCAGGTTCTTGGGAGGGCGGCCGCGCTTCCGCTTGAGAATGATGGGCATCTCGCCGGGTGGGAAGACCACCACCACGTTGCGGCCATTGTTCTTCATCTTCAGCAGCGGGGTGGGCTCGGCGGACACGCGCAGGCCCAGCTCTTTGCCCTCCACGCTCAGGCTGCTGCTCAGAGACGACACTTTGTACGTGGTCTTGTTCCGCCGCCCCAGGGACACGGGGATCTTGGCCATCTTCACCACCATGCGCCGGACCCCCCGGCACTTGCCTTTGCGGGGAGGGACCACCGGGGTCTGGGAGGCTTCGGGCTCCAGCTCCGGGACGGGAACTGGCCCGGGCAGGGCAGGAGGCGGTGGAGGAGGCGGCGGGGGTGGCTCGGCCAGTGCGGCGGCCAACCCGGCGGGCATAGGCAGGGGGAGCAGGCGGCCCTCGGGGCCGGCATCTGCCTTGCGTCCCCGTCCGGCTTTCCGTCGGCGACACAGGATCTTTGGCCTATCGGTGCGTCGCAAGGCGTATTTGGGGTGACCCTCAGGCCCCGGAGGGCCATGGGGTGAGCACAAGTCCAGGCGCAAGGGCTCGGCCAGTGGACAGGGTCCCAGGGGCTGCTGGGGCTCCAGGCGGCGGCCAGGGACGTCAAGCAACTTGGGCAGGGGGTCAAGTGCCTGCGGGTCAAGCAGCTGCGACTCCAGGGAGTCGGGCAGGGTGTCCAGAGCCTGTAGCGCCAGGCTCGGCAACCCCAGAGGATCAGCCAGGGGCTGCAGGGGTGGCAGCTCCAAAGCTTCCCCGAGCGGCTCGAGAGCCTGCGGGTCCAGGAAGCGAGGTTGGGGGTCCAAGAGCTGAGGCTCGGGCTCAGGCGACGGCGGCTCGAGGGCCTGGGCCTCCAGCAGCTGGGCCTCGGGGCAAGTGAGAGAGGCCAGCTCACTAAGGATGTCGGCATCAGCGAGTTCTGAGTAATCGGGCCCGTCGGGCTCAGGCTCTGGTGGCAGACCAGTGGCCGCGGCCGTGGCTCCGGGACTGTGGCCTTGGCCGGGCTGGGGGCTGTCCTGAGGCTCAGGCTCAGGCTCGTACAGGGGGTGGCTGGGCCTCTCGGACTTGGTGTGGGGGGTGGCCCGCTCCTCCGGGCTGCGGATGCTGTTGGCCAGGCTGGGCGAGGAGAAGAAGCTGTACTGCAGGTCCCCGGGGGGCGGGGCTGGGGGGCGGCTGAGCCGGAGACCACCACAGTCCAGGTGCACGCCGCTGTGCTGCAGGTCCTGGGAGAGCCGGGTCAGGTCCTTCATGATGTCGATCAGCTGGACCACCGGACGCAGGGTCGCCCGCCCGTTGTCCCAGCGCCTTCGGGAGCTGCTGCTGCTGTCTCCCGCGGGTGTGGGGCAGCGGGCCTGGGAGACAGGACGGGCCGCCCTCGGGGGCAGCGGGTCGTCCCCCTTGGCAAGGACTGGTGGGCGCCGGGTGCTGGGGTCCCGGCGTGGGGGTGGGCGTGGGTTCTCGGAGAAGGTGTGGGCGAAGGCCTTGTCGGGTGGGCTGGCGGGGGGCCGGGCGGGAAGCAAGGGCCGGGGGGTGGGGGGGCCGCCGGGGTAGTACTTGGGCTCCCGGAGGTAGTCAGGAGAGCTGCACACGGCACTGGAAGTCACCACCAGGCCCTGGGGCTTCACACGCATCCTGACCTTGTCCTCCGAGGGCCGCCGGGCGGGGCCGGGACTGACATGAGGGTGCGAGAAGCCGGGACCAGGACCTGCTGGGCAGGACAGGCAGCAGGTCCCTCCTTGAACACCCAAGCCCCCATCAGCTTCCCATGTCCCCCGTGGCCCCCTGCACCCCTCTCCTGAGTCCCCTCCCAAAGCCCAATCCCTCTGGTGACCTTCAGCATTTCCTAAGCCACCATGTGCACCATGAACCCCCATGGGCCCCAGTTCCACTTCCTGACAGTGCACCCACTTTTGTCTAGACCTGGGCTAAGGACTAGGGGAGAATAATTCACCTGCTTTTGAGAGAGATGCTCATGAACGGGGTGGAGCAACCACTCCAGAGCAAACTTAAGGAGGGGGCCTGGAGGTCCTATCAAGGACATGGCCTCTTCCTTCTTGCCCCATCCCCCAGGCAAACCCTGGCCACTCACCCTCGGCTCTGCCGCCTGGGCTGTCACACTGGAGATCTCTGTGGGCAACAAGACAGATAAGAAACCATCTCAATGGTATGGGAGCCATAGATCCCAACCACTGTCCACCTGCCCACGGGGCCCCATCTCCCCCCACACCCCAACCCCAGCACCCCAGGAACTCTGGCTGACCTGGAAGAGAGAGGGCCCCCGTGCCTGGGGGCTCTGCCAGTCGCTGGCTGTCAGCTGGGGGTGTTGTGAAGCAACTTTGGCCTGAGCCCAGGCCTCGGGGCGTGGACAGCGCCTGGAAAGGACCATCGCAGCTCAGGTTTAGTGAGCACCTACTGGGCGCCAGGCACTGGGCTGGAAGCTGTCCAGGCATCGTTTCATTTAATTCTTCATATCAATCCTGTGAGGTAGGGGCTATTAATAACCCCATTTTGCAGATGAGGAAATGGAGGCTCAGAGATGAAGTAACATTCATTCATTCATTCATATACTCATTATTTGTGAAGTGCCTACTATACACAAACACTGGGTAGACAAACACTGATGAGACAATCATAAGTGACGTAATTATTAGTGGGATAAGAGCAGCAGAGAAAAACTTTAGAGCGCCTGAGGCCGGAGGTTCAACAATCATACCAGGAGTCAACAACAATAAAAGTTCATGCCCTGGGGGCCCTTTCTCTGTTGCCAGACATTGGACTAAGTTCATTATATGGATTATCTCATCTAACCCCCCCTGCAAACCTGAAATCAATACGATTATCACCCCCACTTTTACAGTCAAGGAAACCATCCATTGGAAGGTGGTAAGCACCATGAAGGCAAGGATTTCCATTCTGCTGACTGTCAAGTGTATATCCCCCAACACCATGGCCCATAAGTGTGCTTCAAAAAATATCTACTGAACGAATGAGGCACACAGAGCAATCAGCCTTTCTCCATAAGGCTCTCTCTCATTCTTCTCCAGACCCCAAAGTGGGACCCCGGTAGGATGTGGAAGAGGGAGGGAGATTAAGAATGTGAAAAGGGACATTCTCTGCTCCCCTGCCACCTCTAGCCTCAGCTCGGCCCTGCCACATACTTTCAGAGCCCCTTTTATTTCCCCTTCACAGTATTTACCGGGACTGTAGTCAATTACTTGTGTGACTGGCTGTTTAGTGTGCCTTCTCCCCGAGTGTGGGCTCTCAGGGCTAAGGACAGAGTCTGTCTTGTCTACCGTTGTATCCCCTGACCCCAGGGCCTGGGCTCTGGATGCTACGTAAACATTTACTGAGCAACTCCCTCAGCTGGTAGGGCTGAGCTGGGATTTAGATCCAGGCAGGTCTGACTCCCAGAGGAACTAGGGACTCAGGGCCCTGGCTGATCCCCAGGAGCTGGTTTGGGGGAGCAGGAAGATGAATGGGCCCTGATCACTGGGAGGATCACTTTGAACTTCACAGGAATACAGCAGATTGACTGGGGGACAGGGAGGTGTGGGCAGGGCCACTCGTCCACTCCCCTCTGGTGGGCAGCAACATGCCATCTACAAAGCATCTCCACATATATGACCCACTGCATCTTCAGTGAACCAGGGAGACGTGGATTATTACCTCCATGTTACAGAGGAAGCAGGTTCAGAGCAGTTGTATAACTTGCCTGAAGTCACATAGCTGCTAAGTGGCAAGATTTCTAATTCTGCCAAGTCCAAAGCCTCCTTCCACTCCCAGCTCCTGCAATGCTCCTCCGGCCACTCCTGAAAGTGCTTCTTCTAGAGCTGCGGTCTAAATTAAGGCTGGGAGGAACCTTAAAATCACCTAACCCTTGGGCTTCCAAACCCTGGGCCTGGGGAGCTGTCTAACCTTCCAGATACCCAGACCCTAGTCCAGGGAGTCTGACTCACAAATCTGAAGGGACATTTGGGAACCTGGTGGTTTTTTTTTTGGGGGGGGGCTGCACTGTGCAGCCTGTGGGATCTTGTTCCTCAACCAGGGATCGAACCTGTGCCCTCTGTGGTGGAAACATGGGAGTCTTAACCACTGGACCACCCTGGAGAAGGGGAAGGCTACCCACTCCAGTATTCTGGCCTGGACAATTCCATGGACTATGTCCATAGGGCTGCAAAGAGTCAAGACAGGACTGAGCGACTTTCACTTCACTTCACCCAGGAAGGCCCTGGGAATCTGCATTTTTAATTGGCTCCCCCAGTGGGTACACTGTTCCAGTGTCACCTCATGCCCCTCCCATTTTTCAGACAAGGAAACTAAGACCGAAGAGGGAAACAGACTTTGCCCAAGACCACAAGATAGCATGGGGAGGGGGGGCCCCAGTGTGCTGCTCATCCAAGCAGAACACCCCCATGTCTCTTCAGCTCCCAGGCCGCAGCTGTTCCTCACTGTCCCATTTACTAGATCACTTCGGGTTCTGTTCTCTCTCATGCCCGCCTGCAGGCTGTGGTCGGGCCCCTTCTAGGCCAGGCCCTCTCTGCTTCAAGAATCTCACCTCCGCTCTTGCGGGAAGAACTGTGGGTAAGACACTCACGAAGCAGGGAAGGGGCTCAGACTCTGGAATCTCCGGGTCCTACTTCCAACAGCACGGCTGACCCGTGGCTCCCGCTGCCCTCCCGGAGGTGCCTACCACAAGCCACCGCCCCTCTCTCCGGAGGGTGGGGCTCACCAACCCTCCCTACTCTGGAGACCTCCCACCGGGGGCCTGAGGGTGTGACCTTGGCAGAAGAGACAAACCGCCTCTCCAGCGGCTGCTTCTGTTCCACCCACCCGTGAAGACCTCTGGGCACACCGTCCTGCCAGACCTCCTGACTGTCCACGGCCTCCAGGATCTGAGGGAAGCAACTGGCTCCCCTCCCCACCACACCCAGGCAGACGTTTTCTTGGACCCCCTCCCAAGGGTACCACCTATCCCTACTGTCTGAGAACAAAGTCGCAAAGGTTCCTCTGTCCGTCGTCTGTCTGCTTCTGGGTCAGTGTGTCTTGAGCCTGCCTGTGGGGACACCCGCCGGCTGGGAGGGGGGCTGGGGGCCCCAACCTGCTGCGCGCAGTGCCGGGAAGGGCCAGCCCACATCCTTGAGTCCCCAGCCCCACCCTCCCCCGCTGCGGCTCTGACCACCCCACCCCTTCCCCAGCCAGCCTCCCCCTCCCCCACCCGCAGCCTCCCCAGGGGAGCCCGGCTGCCAGCCCCAGCTCTCACTTCCGGCCTCATGACCCTCTCTCCAGCCTCCTCCCCACCCCCACCCCCCCACCCCGCACACACCATTTCCCTCCCAGCCCGGACTGAAGGCCCAGGGATGTCCTCAAATGGAAAACTAGGCCTCAAAGGGGGCTATCACTGCTGCGGTGAAACCTCCCGTCAATCACCTCCCTTGGAGGGGGGCCTTTATCTGCCAGGACCACCCCCACTCAGGAACTATGTACCCCCCCAATTTCCTTCTCTTCAGCCCCCTCCCACCCACCCACCCCTGAAGACCTCCTTCCAACCTGACTCCGGACCAGAATCGTTACCAAAAAAGTAACAATGATGAAAATAACAACGGGCAGCTGTCACTTATTTGGCGAGTAAATGAGGCTCCGAGAGGTTAAGAAAAGCCCTTCAGGGCAAACAGCCATGACAGGGAAGAATGTCTGCACTTGGGTTAGCTGAGCTCCTCTGAACCAAACTTCTCCACTCTCCAGAGAGTCAGCCCCCTCCCCTGCAGCTTCCTCGAACTGTCTTGGTCCCAACGACCAGTTCTAATTTTTGACTTCTAAATCTACCCCCTCCTCTCAGCTGCTTCACCCCTCCCACCTAGGTCATTCAATGCACTACCCTCCCTCACCACTAGGTGTCCCCTTAGAGCCACTGATGCCCCCAAGGGGAGCAAGCCCCGCCCCACCCCCTGGAATCATCAGGGCCACCCCCCCTCAATAGCACAGCACACCCCACCCCACCCTACCCCCAGCCACACAGAGCTCCTTTGTGCAGCCCTTGCCCACCCCCTTCCTGCCCGGAGCAGGGCACCTGGCAAGCAGGTCTGCCCTAGACCCGCCCCCTGCCAGCCCCCTGCCCTGGGTGCCAGGTGTGTGGGCACCACCGCCAGCTCTGGCTGAACCCGAGGGTCACCCTGCTGGGCGGCCCTCCCTTCCTCTCTCCGAGGTCACCCAGGGACTGTGCTTCCCGCCTGCTCCGCCCCCATCCCCTCCTGCCCTTGGCCCTTCCAGACTCCTGTCCTTGTCTTTCCTTCTGTCTCCCTGAGGACACCCCTCCTCCAGCCCCACCAGGCCCTCCCCACAGCCTCACCACCGCCCACCTCCTTCCCCTGAGAGCTCCTTGTTCCGCCCCCCCACCCCTCCCCGCCCAGGTCTAAAAAACTCCTCCTCCTGGAAAGTTGCTGCTGGAAAGGAAGTGACTTCAGCAGTTTGGCCACAAGGCTGGGCACTGCTGAGCCCAGCTCAGCTGAAGCCTTGCCCAGCCCACCTCCAAAGCACAAACGGAGCCACGTGCACACACCTCCCCCAGTGTGTGCAGCCAGAACCCTGAACACACGCTTCCCTGGTGACACGCGGAAGAACCTCTGTGTACACGACCCACCCCACCCAGTGTGTACTCATGTATCACCCTGGTGTATTCAGAGTCTTGTCTACACACCTCTCCAGTGTACACTAGCAGCCTGCCCAGGAACACCACCCAGCATGGCACGCACAACACTCTAGCCTCCCCACACCTGCACAAGACACACCCTCAGTCCTGCACACTCACTCCCATGTACCACGTATGCAGCCTGTGAATGTCTCCCAGCCCAGTCCACCTAGACTTTTACGAACAGCACCCTGCACACCTCAGGACAGAGTCCTACACAAGCCTGCTTGCACACAAACCGGAGCACCTGCACACGAGATGCCCGGAACATTTACAGTTGGGTACGCCCAGCTCTGACATCCCCACCCTGACAATCCCAGGAGACTCCACCCCCCAGACCTCAGGCCCCAGGAATGCTCTTTTGGAAGCTGGGTGGGGTCCCCAGGCAGGCTGGGCTCTAGGGAGCTTCCTGGAGCCTGAGGCTCCATGTGTCAGTTCGGGGAGTTGCCTCTCCACCTGGTCTCTGGCTCTCCAGCCTGCCTGGGTGGGCTTATCTGGGCCCAGGGTAGGGAGGTGGTTCCTGCCCCTGCCCCTGCCCCATCTCATCCCAGGAGGGCAGCCCAGCATACCTCAACTCCCCAGGTCCTCTCAGCTTCCACAGACTCTAGGAGAGAGGGGTCCTGGGGGGGTCAGCTTCACACAGCAGGCATTCTGTTTTCTACCTCTGCCCTGGGTTCTGGTCACTGTCACAACCCCCTTCGCTTCCTAGTTCAGGTTATCCAGGTGCAGGTCCCCCAACTAGGAGGAAGGACTCGGGGGAACCGGCTGTATATCCATGGACCTCGCCTTTCTGGATAGTGGGGAGTCTGAGTAAGTGCGGTTAAAGTATTTTGATACTAAAGGGCCTCTTTTTGGCCTAAGCTGGGAAGGGGGGATCCTTGATAGGATTGAGAAGGAAGTACCCCTGATCCCCACTTCCTGGGGTAGCCGGCAGACCCAGCTTCTCTGTACACTGTTACCTGAGCAAGCTGTGCAGACAGGCCCAGCTCAGCAACAAAGGCCTGTCTTCACCAGTGATTCCAGGGTGGTCTCTTCGGCAGCCTGAGAATCGCCCCGAACCCGGGGCCCTCTGCACGCACTTAGCTGGGCAGGCTCTGGGGTCCAGGCCAACGGGTAGACAGGCAGGCAAGCTCCCATCTGTGAAAACAAAAACAGCACCCCAGACATAAGCATGGATACAGGATGGAGGGACCAGGAGGCCATCCTAGGTGGGTCTAGTCTTGCACAGAAATTGGCTCCAACCTCATTTCACTGGGGACTATTAACTATATCTTGAAACCCCAGGCAGTATCTGCATGGGCAGATATGTATGCATGAACAAGAACACATACGCTATGGTGAAAAGAACCTGGTCTTGGGAGTCAGAATGGTCCTTGCCTCAACTTTCATCACCTGTGTGATCTCAGGCAAGTCAGTTAACCTCTCTGGCTCTCAGTTTCCTAATCTATAAAATAGGGAGAGTTTATGAACGGGGAGAAGTGCTCTAGGCAAACTATAAATGCTAAGAGCTCACTTACAATGCAGGTGTGAGAGTTACTGTTCAAAGTGACGGTGACTGCAGATTTTCATGAGGGGTATATACGCAGCTGGCATTTACCCTCTCCACCCGAGACTGGTTCTCTCTTTTGTTTCCTTTAATAACTAGGGCCCTCCTCACCCCCTCTGCTTCCTGCCCATTTGTCTGCCTCCCTGAGGTTTGTACTTGAGCCCCGAGGGGTCTGGGAACCAGGCCTCATAGACTGCTCATAGGTTTTGGTTGCCTGGGAATGTGTGTGTACATGCATGTTAAAGAGATCCTGCATGTCTGTGAGCATTCAGCTGTCTGGGCAAATGCACCTGTGTGTGGCTTCCTGGGTCTGCTAGGCCTTCTGTATGTTTCTCTGTGTATTTCCGTATGTCTATGCAAGTATATGTGTGTTTAAGAGTGCCCATGTATAGGACTGTCTGTGTGTGTGTGAGCTGATATTTACTGGAGTTGGTGTCTTCACTTTTACATGTGGGTGTGTGTATCTGGGTTTGTTCAGTTCTCTGTGTGTGTTCAGCTAAGTCTATGTTTGCACACCTATGGGGACACACAGATATATGTGCCTAATGTGTGAGCAGGTGTACCCAGCTGTGATTGGGGCATGCGTGCCCATGTGTACACACTCTGCATCTGGCCGTGTCAGGAGCTGAACTGACTTCTGCCCATTTCCGATTCCCTGGGCTTGTGCATTGGGGTGGGGGTGGGGGTGGGGGTGGGTGGACCCTCTGCCATCCCCACAGGTTTCCAGTCTTGAGGCCAGTGAGTGGGGTCACTGGATCAGTGCCGTCTCCCTCCTTCCCACTGCCTTTCTCTGGGTTTTCAGGCTCATGGTGCGCTTGGTCACCGTGTCCCCGCGGGACTGTTTCACCGCGGGTCAGTGTGTGCTTGACTGTGACCCTGCATGTGCGTGTTGTATGCCCTCATCACTGTGCACCTGTGTGTGTCAGTGGGCCCTTGTGCCATGTCACTGTATGTCTGTGTCAGTGTCAACACGTGTGAGTCTGTGTGCCATGGTGTGCCTGTCAGCACAATGGTGCTTCAGTGTTCGTGTGATACCTTTATGTAACTTGTCAGTGCGCGTGTGTGTGCGTGTATGTGAGACTCTTTGTGATAGTGTGTGTCTGTGTCACTGTGTTTGTATGCCTGCTTCCCTCCTCCCTCCCTATCTCCTGCTCTCGCTCTCTCTCTCTCTGTAGGAGCCAGACAACTCCCCAAGCCTGGATTAGGGACAATTTATCCACAGGCAGAGAAGGAGAATTTCAACCTGCCAGAGCCTCCCTCCTCTGATCCATCCCCCCTCCCCCCATGGTTGGGTGGGCACAGAAATGCAGCCAGGCAGCTCCCAAGCCCTTGGGGAGCCCCCACCTCTGTGGCTCCCCAGAGGCCCAGGCGGGTGGAAACGATGGAAATCTGGGTGGCCCCCGAGCCCTCCAGTAGGGGTGGCTTGGCTGCCCCCCATCCAGGCCCCCGGAGCTCAGATCATCTTGGCCCTGTTCTCCTACATATGGTGCTGGTGGTTGGGGGGAGTCAGCATGAGGTCTGCTTGGCCCTGGGGGCTGGGGCGACCTGAGGAGTGAAGCGGTTCCCAGCCCCTCCCCAACCTGATATTCCCCAACTGATAACGGCCGACTCCCCCGCCCCTTGAGATGGAAATGACTGGGGAACTTGTGACTATGCCCACACGGGCTGGGAGGCAGGGGACAGCGTGGTGGGGGGAATGCGGCAAGGGGGGGTGGTGGGAGCAGGGGCTGAGCTGGGACTAAGGCTCCCTTCACGGTGCTCCAGGCGCAAGGCAGCATCACATGTTTCCCATTAGCTGCTCTGGCCTCCTTGTTCAGGGGGTGTTGGCTGGGGGAGATTTGTTCTGGTTGCAGACACCAGCCGAGACCACACAAGAGAGAGAGAGGAAAAGACAGAGAGAGAGAGAGGGAGAGGAAAAGACAGGGAGAGAGAGAAAGACTCAACAGAGATGCACAGGGAGAGAGATAGACAGACAGGAAAAGCAGAGACAAGGACACACAAACCCCAAAGCAGAGAGACAGGACGGGGTGATGATGGGCGAGGCTAACAGTGGGGGACAGGGCCAGCGGCTGGTAAGGAGACCAAGGTGGAGAGAGGCTGGTCGGGGGCTGAGGAGCGTGTCAGTGAGGAGGCGCAGGGTGCTAGTCAGGCCTGGAAGGACCGAGGGGGAGAGGGCGGGGTGGGGGGCGCTGGGGCTGCAAGCCTGATGGAGGGGAGACTCAGGGGGAACCTGATGCAGGGTCAGAGAGGGCAGGGGCGATGGGTGGGCAGGGGGAGTGGCCGCCCTGGAGCAGCCGGGCGGGGGCGGCCAGCAAGCCCCGGAGCCTCCCGCCTCCTGACCCTGGAGCCTGGGAGAGATAACAGGCCCGAATAGTGCTGACTTGCGGTTCAGAAATCCAATATCCTCCGCGGCGCACTAATCGACTACCTGAGCTCCCGGCCCGCGCCAAGCTGCCCCGATTAATCCTGCGGCTCCACAGCCTTAATTAGTTTAACAGTTTCAGGGGCAGGAGAGGCGAGGCACAGGGTCCCCCAGACTCGTGGGGACACAAGCCCCCCCATGCCAGCCCTGCCTGGTGCCCTGCCTACCCAGTCGCACCTGCCCCAGCCCAGCAGCCCTGGTCCACACCATCTGAAAAACAGAGGATCCTTCCTCCTGGGGAACGGTCCCAAGGGCTGGCACCTGGGTCACAAGTTAGGTCTTGGGGAGCCCAGACCATCCCTCCTGCCCTGCACCCCTGCCCCATCCCAGCTTGTCCTTGTGCCCATGGCCTGCAGGCTGGCTCTGGCTTGCTTTTTGAGGCCCTGCCCACTGACAGCCCCACGCCACTGGGCAACATGTCATCTCCTTAGGGTCGAGAGACAAGCTCCCAAGTTCCCGACAGCCCCCCAACAGCACGAGATAATCACATGTCACTCCCCACCCTGGCATGAGATGGGCACATGGTGACATCTCACTCACACACACAACAATCAGAGAGACAGGCGGACGAATGGGTGACCACCCTCCTAACAGGATGGGCCAAGCATAGAACCTATCACTTCCTCCAAAGCCTGAGATGGGCACACCTGATAACTTCCAGACAGTCTGAGACAGGAACACAGGTTGTCACCCTCCAGAGGGTGGGGCCAACATACAACCAGGACCCCAACAGGGTGTGAAATGCAGAGAACCTGTCTGTCTCTCTTTTACACACACACACACACACACACACACACACACACACACACACACACGCGTGCGTGTGCCCCACTTTCCAGGTGTGACAAAGGCACAGACCCCTCCCCACAACACACGGAGTACAAGCCGGGGACACAACCTTCCCTGTGAGTCCTCCCTGAAGACTGCAGGGTGGGTAAAGGACATGTCACCCCGGGCTGCTCTGGACAGGAGACAGCCCACCGGCCCCTCCCCCATCACTGCCAGCCTGGTGGTGCCGTCCTCTGCCTGCAGAGGCGTCACAGCTCACAGGGCATGAATGTCACCCCAGCACTGCCAGCGCCGGGCACAGCCACACGTTGCCCCAGTGACAAACACCGCTGGCCCCAGGAGGTGGAGGCACACAGGGCTCTGGGCGTGACCTTGGTCCCTGGACACCAGGAGGGGCGGCGCTGTGGCCTCCCTCCTGGGTAACCCGGGGCCGGGAAGATGAGTGCTGGCAAGAAGGCCACCTGGGCACAGACAGCCTGAAAATGCTGCCTCCCCAAGCAGCGCCCCCCCCATTTCTAATTGAACGTGTAGTTGTTCTGGGGAAACAGAATGCAGAGGGCAAAGAGGCGGTCCTGGCCCTAAGGCTTGAGGAGCAGGTCCTAACAGGACTTCTCGGAGACTGTGGAGTCAGGCAGGGTAGGGGTGGCTGTCACCACACCCTTGGGGGCCCAGGAAGGATGGGGTGGGATGATCGCTTCAGACGCCCGCTGAGGCCAGGGGAGCCCTTCTTTCTTACCAACGCCCCCTCTCCAATTCAGGCCACAGAGCCTGACAAGGAGGCCAAAGTCCAGGGGCATGACTCACCCAGGGAACAGGCCCAGCCTGCTGGCCAGAAAGTGAGGAGGACAGGAGCCAAGAGGCCTGGGTTCAAGTCTGAGCTCCTCCCAGGCCAAGCGGAGTGACCTTGGAGCAGAGGCTCAGTCTCTTTGGCTCTGGGGAGGGGGAAGAGACAGCAAGCCGGGGAGCGCTGAGGTGGGAGGACATGGCGGCTCAGCCCCCTGGCCCACTGCTTGCTTCCTCACCAGGGACCTCTGCTTTCTGGAGCTCAGTTGCCTCAACTGGAAAGCAGAGAGGCTTCCCTGACCAGGGATCGAACGCACGCCCCCCACGTTAGAAGTGTAGTCTTAGCCACTGGATCTCCAGGGAAGTCCCGAAATGGGAACTTCTTATTGAAGAGCGGAAGATAAGACTAAGAAAGGGCAGGAGGCTTGCCCAAGCCACAGGGCAAGTTAGTATCAGTTGAACCTAGCCTCTGCCTCCAGGCTGAAGCTGTTTCTGTAGGACTGCTTGGAGGGAGAGAGAGAGAGAGTGAGTGAGTGAGTGAGTGTGTGTGTGTGTGTGTGTGTATCAGGGTGCTGTTGCCTACAGAGCTGCCTTCCT